GCCCCCCCGTCTGCTGCTGGCTGCAGCGGTGCTGCTGCTGCTGCTGCAGCAGCAGGACTGGGGGAGAAGCTGCTGGCCGGGGGGCCCTCATAGGGCCCCTGGGGGCCCCAGGAAGTCCCCAGGGTACTTGAAGTCGAGAACCATAGCGCGTCGTTGCCGGATCCTGCTGCTGCTGCTGCTGCTGCTGTTGCTGCTGCTGCTGCTGCTGCTTCTTGGGAGTCTGGGTGCCGGTCGGCCATCCCTTAGTGCCATTATAACTCAAAGAAATCCAAAAAAATAAAACTGTCGAAGAGCTGCGGGAGTTGGGAGAGTTTGAGTGGCGGTGGTGTGCTGCGGTGTACGTACACCTCAGCAGCGAGGCGCGTGGCAGTCAACTGAATCGGACTCCAAGAACAACTCGAAGATCTGTTTGAATGAATTAAATAAATTAATTAACATTAATTAATTAATTAATTAATTAATTAATTAATTAATTAGTTCATTTAATTCATTGGTTTCCTTCTTTCGGCGTTTTGCTGCGGCTTCCCGAGTCGCGGCGGCGCTGGGGCTGTCGTTTGCAGCTGCTTTGAAACTTCGGCAAATTTTGAATAATATGAATATTAAAGACATTTTAAATGCAAATATTATTTTTTATTTTCAAAAATGAAAACTTTTGAGCGCAAAAAGCCGCGCGAAGACCGACCGACAGGGCGGACCTGCACATACACCTCAGCGAGGTGTCTGTACACCGCAACGCCGCCGCGACTGCGGAGGCGGAAATAAAACACCAAAAGTGCATTTTTATTTTTTGTCAAAAACTTCGCCAAATTTTGCGTTTTAAACGCCAAAAAAGAGCAAAATAAACGCTATTTCCGGGTGTACAGACAGCTGTTGCTGGGGGCTTCGGGAAATTGCAAAAAGAAATAATTTATTTCTTTTTATTTCTTTTTTTTATTTCTTTTTTTTTATTTCAAAGTCCAGTTCGGATTTGGTCTGGCTGCATGGGAAAGGCCACGGCGTAGAGCACTGCGGCGTCGAGGAGGGCTGTTGGTTTGCAATAAATGGCATTAATTCAATTTAATTAATTAATTTAATTTAATTAATTTAATTAATTTAATTAATTGATTAATTAATTAATCAATTAATTTAATTAAAAATAAAATAAATACTACCAACCATTTTCCTCAGCCAACTCCGCCAAACGCGCATGCAGCTTTTCGTAAGGCGAGCCCTCGGGCAGCAGCAGTTTGGCTTCGCCTGCGGGCGGGGCAGTGAGTCTGCTGCTGCTGCTGCTGCTGCTGCTGCTGCTGCTGCTGCTGCTGCTGCTGCTGCTGCTGGCGTACTGAGAGCGTAGAGAGACAGCCGCAAGCAAGAAAACCTCGAAGAAGGACAGGGGCCCCCATAGGGCCCCCCGCTGCCCAGAGAGGCTCCCAGGGCTTTCCAGTCCGCAGCAGGGCTTAGCTGCAGCTCCGAATGAGCAGCAGCAGCAGCGGGGCCACTGCAGCAGCAGCAGCAGCAGCAGCAGCGGGACCACCGCAGCAGCAGCAGCAGCAGCAGCAGCGGGGCCACCGCAGCAGCAGCAGCAGGAGGCGTCTCACGCTTGTCAGGGTCTCTGGAATGTCCCAAACCAGCAAATGAGGAATCTAAAGGACTTTTTAAATTTGGAAATTAAATTCAAAAATTCTTTTTCTCACAACTTCGCCATTTTGCGAAACTTCTGTTATTGTGAGAACGAAGGAGCCAGTCTCATAGGGCGATCCTGTTTGTTTTGAAATGCATTAAACCCCAAATTCAAATTTCCCATTTGCTGCTGCTGCTGCTGCTGCTGCTGCTGCTGCTGCTGATGCTGCTGCTGCTGCTGCTGCTGCTGCTGCTGACCTGTCCATGTTGCTGCTGGCGCCTGGCTGCGGCCGCCGCAGCGCGAGCCGAAGTGTTTGGGAAGAAGACTTTTAGCTTCTTTGCTGCTGCAAGAAAAAGTGGCGAAGTCTGAAAATAAAAAAGAAAATTAATTTCATTATTTGTTGAAGTTGAACTATAAAATTAATTTTATTATTTGTTGAAGTTGAACTATAAAATTAATTTTATTATTTGTTGAAGTTCAACTTGCAAAAGATTCCCACCGGGGCTTTCCAGCTGCAGCTGCGCGCAGCAGGACCCGAGCAGCGGCAGCAGGAAGCAAAGTGTTTTTCTTTCTTTTTTGAAGAACAAATTCATTTTATTTGCATTTAGAAACTTTATTTTTAATTCAAAATGCAAAAAGATTCCAAAATGGAAAGTGATCGGCTCGATCGCGGGCGGCGCCGCTCGCTTGCGTTTCGGGTGTACAGACAGCTCGCGCGGTTTGCAAATTCAAAAAGTTCAGATTTCGCGGGAACTGCCAGTAACAAATGAAATTAGGATATTATTTTGGATTATTTGGAATAGTTTTTACTTTTTAATGCTTATTTCCACTTTTATTTGCGAAAAAGCGCTATTTTTTGCTCGCTTTCCCCTTCTTCTTGCCCGGCAGCTTCAGACTCATCCCCAGCTGGTCCATCGCCAACAACTGAAATAACGCTAAGTCCCGACTGCCCAGACTCTTCGCCGGCGGCAGCAGCTGCACGACTTCTTCGTGCATTTCGCTTTGCGCCCAGCACGCCGCGTCAAACCCTGCGAAGTTGCAGCAGCAAACTTGAATTCGACGCTGCAGCAGCAGGAGCTGCAGCAGCAGCAGCAGCAGCAGCAGCAGCAGCAGCAGCAGCAGCAGCAGCAGCAGCAGGAGCTGCAGCAGCAGCAGCAGCAGCAGCAGCAGCAGCAGCAGCAGCAGCAGCAGCAGCAGAAGCAGCGGCAGTAGCAGCGGCAGCCGCAGCTGCTGCTGCTGCTGCTGCTGCTGCTGCTGGGGTGGTTTGGTGTGCGTGTAGCTGCAGCAGCTGGCGAGAACTCGGGGCGCTAGCAGCAGACCAGTGCTGCATGCAGCAGCAGCTGAGTGGTCCAGTGGACCACTGGCGGCTGCTGCGGCTCACCAGCCTGGTCCGTTATGGCCGGATTGGCTCCTGCTGCCAGCAGCTGCTGCACTGCAGCAGCAGCACCAACTCTTGCTGCTAAGTGCAGCGGAGTTTGCCCGAGGGCGTTTTGCTGGTTGGGAGAAGCCCCGAAGGCGAGGAGGTAAGAAAGCATTTCTCTGAAGTTCAATACAACTCGACAGCAGCAAAACACAGCACTTGCTGCTGCTGCTGCTGCTGCTGCTGCTGCTGCTGCTGCTGCTGCTGCTGCTGCTGCTGCTGCAGCGCGCGGAGACTCACTCGTTGCTGTTTCTGGCGGCGAAGTGCAAAGCCGTGTTGGCCCCGACCTCAGCGACCTCTGCTGCATTTGGGTCTCCGCCGTGCAGCAAAATCTCCTTCACGATTTCCTCTTTGTTCAACTTTGCTGCCAGCAGCAAAGCAGTTGTCCCGTTGCAGTTGGCGAGTTTTGCTGCTGCGGGTTGCTGCAGCAGCTGCTGCAGCAGCAGCTCGCGCGCGCCGGCCTTCACGGCCTGCAGCAGCGCCGGCAGCGCCATTTCCGCGGACTCGCCTTAAAAAGACAAGTGGGGCATTTTATTCTTTTATTTTCAACTTTAATGCATTTTATTCTTTTATTTCAACTTTAAAAAGAAAAATATTCCCTTTTGGCTTTTTATTTTCCGCTTTCTTCGCTCTTCAGTCCAGCTTTCCGCGGCGCGCGGCTGCGGTGTCTGCGCAGCATGCGCGCGAGCGGCGGCGGGAAAGCGGAAGAGAAAGCTGCAATTTAAATGCAAAAAAGGAAAGTTCTTCTTTTTTTAAACAATTAAAATAATTGTTTTTTGTTTTTAAATTCTTTTAAACTTCTTTTTCGCCTTTTAGACTCCAATTAAATGCAGATCGGCTCCGTCTTCCCTCCGCGAGGTCACCTCGCGCGCTCGCCGCGAGCGCCCGTCGATGCAGCCAGTGGAGGGCAAAATGGGACTTTTAAATTGAATTCTTTCAAATAAAAAAGATATTTCAAAAAGATTTACAGAATTAGACATTTTAAAGACTTTTTCAGAAAAAAAGAAATGCAATTTCCCCTCGCCTTCCACCCGGCGTTCCCAGCGCGCTCGCTGCTCTCCTCAGGTGTCTGTACACCTCAAAATCTGCACAAATTCGGATCTGCAGCAGCAGCCCCAGTGCCTAGCAGCAGCAAATCACTTCAGTAATAACAAATAAATGAAAAGAGTTCGAAATAAATTGCAAAAGCAAAAAATATAATTATAAAATAAATAATCATCTCAGGACCTGCACTGAGAGCTGCGCAGCAAGATTTACAGAGTAAGAAGTTGCTGCGCAATAAAGACTTTACAAATTTGCTGCTGCTGCGCGATAAAGAGCCCAGGTCTCCAAACCTGTTGCTGCAGCGCAGCAGCAGCAGGCCTTTCTTGACCAGTTTGACGAATTAGGTCAACTAAAATAAAGTTCATCTAGGCAAACTAGTTGAAATAAAATTTAATCCCTGCTGCTGCTGCAGCAGCAGCAGCAGCAGCTTCTTTCGCTTGCTGCTGACGACACTTGCAGTGGCCGTTCAGCAGCAGTTGCGGGCCAGCCGCGAAAACCCTTTTTCAGGGTTTGGGGCCGCCGGCGAGAAGGGAGCAGCTAAACCCTAAACCGCTGTTTGAGGCTCGGCAGCAACTCTAGGGTTTAGGGTTTAGGGTTTAGGCAACAAACAAAAAGACGAAACAAAGAAGAAGCTGCTGCAGCAGAGCAAGTGGCGGTTTGCTGCTGCTGCTGGGGTGTACGTACACCCGGGGAAGCAGCACTAGGCTGCTGCTGCCTCTTCCTCCTCCTCTTCCTCCCCGCTGCTGCTGCTGCTGCTGCTGCTGCTGCTGCTGCTATTTTTCTTGCCGCTGCAGCAGGGGCTCTTCCTGCTGCTGCTGCTGCTGCAGCAGCCGGCGTGCTGCGCGAGCAGCTGCGAAGCCTCGTTGAAGATGCCGTAGGTGTCCCTGCCGCACACTTTGCACTTGCTGCTGCTGCTGCTGCTGCTGCTGCTGCTGCTGCTGCTGCTGCTGCTGCGGAAGCCCGCGAAGGCGCACTGCTCGCAGAAGTAGTGGCCGCAGCAGGTGACCACTGGTCTGCTGCCAGTGGTCCATTTGCTGCGGCAGCTCAAACAGGCAAAAGGCAAACCCTCGTCTTCTTCTTCGCTTTCCGAAGAAGAAGAAGAAGACACCAAACCCTCGCCTTCCGCTTGCCGCCGCAGCCGCTCCTGCAGCAGCACACCACGCAGCACTTGCTGCTGCTGCAGCAGCAGCAGCAGCAGCAGCAGCAGCAGCAGCAGCAGCAGCAGCAGCAGCAGCGGCGGCGGCAGGGGAAGGCCCGCGGCAAGACGGAGGGGCTCGCGGGCTAGGGAGGAGGTGACGGAACTGCTTTTTAGGGTTTAGGGTTTAGGGTTTACGAGGGTTTGGAAGGGTGTGAATGAGGGTTTAGGAGGGTTTAGGGTTTAGAAGGGTTTACAACGAAGTGCTCGGCAGGGTTTGGGCCTCTGTGCTTTAGAAAAGCCCTCAAAGAATTAACTGTTCCAACATTTCGAGGGTTTAGGGTTTAGGGTTTTGGAGGGTTTAGGGTTTAGGGATTCGGAGGGTTTAGGGTTTAGGGATTTGGAGGGTCTAGGGTTTAGGGATTCGGAGGGTTTCGGGTTTAGGGCTTTGGAGGGCTTAGGGTTTCGGGATTTCGAGGGTTTAAAGTTCAGGGATTTCGAGGGTTTAGAGTTGAGAGATTTCGAGGGTTTAGGGTTTGGAAAATGGGGATTTGGCGAAGTTCGAGTTCAGCGCATCAGTTTTCGAGGGTTTAGGGTTTAGCGGAGTGGGCTTTCGAGGGTTTAGGGTTTAGAAGGGAATCTGGCAAATACGGGGTTTGAAAGTGCGGGCTTTCGCGCATTAGGGGTTTGGCGGGCGGGGAACCGCTGAATTAGGGTTTAGGGTTTAGAAGGGAATTTGGCAAATACGGGGTTTGAAAGAACGGGCTTTCGCGCATTAAGGGTTTGGGGTCGCGGGGAACCGCTGAATTAGGGTTTAGGGTTTAGAAGGGAATTTGGCAAATAGGGGGTTTGAAAGAACGGGCTTTCGCGCATTAAGGGTTTGGGGTCGCGGGGAACCGCTGAATTAGGGTTTAGGGTTTAGAAGAGAATTTGGCAAATAGGGTGTTTGAAAGAACGGGCTTTCGCGGATTAGGGTTTTGGGGTTGCGGGGAATCGCTGAATTAGGGTTTAGGGTTTGGCGGACGAGTCGTTGCTGCTGCTTTTGCTCCCACTCGCGCTCGACTTGCCAACCCTCCTTGTAGTCCGTCCTGTCGTGCAAAAACTTGCAACAATCTCCAAAACCACAATACCCTGTTTCTTTGTAATCTTTGCAAAGTTCGGGTTTATAGTCCACGTAGAGGGTCAAGCGGACGTTGGGGGCCCCCCGGGGGGCCCCCAGGAGGGCCCCCCGCGAGGGTTTGGAGTAAAGCCGGTGGGCCCCCAGCCCCCGGTAAACCCCCGGCTCCAGTAAACCCTTTTTTAGGGTTTCGCTTATCTCCAGCCGCCGCTCCCACAGCGCCCGCTTGTCTTCCCCGCGGCCCGCGTCCAGCTCCAGCCTCGCAGTCGCCCGGTTGTCGTCGTCCAAACCCTAATTCCAAACCCTAAACCCTAAACCCTAAACCCTAAACCCTAAACCCTAAACCCTAAACCCTAAACCCTGATTTGAGCGCCGGAGGCCCCGGCGCGCACTTCCGCTCGACAGCCTAGCCTTTGACCCCAAACCCAAACACCCGCCTCACCAAATAAACCCTAAACCCTAAACCCTAAACCCTGCTAAACCCCAAACCCTTCTAAACCCTAAACCCTCCTAAACCCTAAACCCTAAACCCTCCTAAACCCTAGGCCGTACCAAGTCGGGGTTGCTTTGCTGCGCGAGAGCGTCCGTCGCCTTTTGCTTCTCGCTCTTTCCTTCCTTCGTCTGAGCGCAGCACAAACCCGCAAACCCTAAAAAAGGGTTTAGGGTTTAGGGTTTACACTTTACGCCACTCAAGCCTAGGGTTTAGGGTTTCGTCCAAACAAGAAAACTCCCTTCCGATTAGGGTTTCGGTGCCCGTCTCGCGGCTCAGGGCCCAAACTAGGGTTTAGGGTTTGAATAAGGGTTTAGGGTTTAGGGTTTAGGGTTTAGGTCACCCTCCCAACTAAGAAGTGCTTGCAAAGCGGCTTCCGAGACTTTCGAGGCCTAACTATCTTTGCATGTTCTTCATCACTTCCATCAGACCCACAAGTACCCCCGGGGGGGCCCCCCAGGGGCCCCTCTTGAGGGGGCCCCCCTGGGGAAGGGGGGCCCCCCGAGGAAGCCCCCGTAGAACCCTCTTGGGAGCCCCCCTGGGGGCCCCTCGGGGGGCCCCTCAGGGGCTTTTGGGTCTGGGCGTTTGCGGACGCCTTTGGGTGCGGCGCGTTTGGCGAACATTTGGGGTATAGGAAGACCCGGGGCCGGGCGAGGGTTTAGGGTTTAGGGTTTAGGGTTTAGGGTTTAGGGTTTAAGGTTTAGGGATTAGGGTTTAGGGTTTAGGGTTTAGGGTTTGGGAGAGAAAGCAGGGGTTGGAAGCGAGGGTTTGGAAGTGGTGGGAGGCGAAGGGAGAAAAAGAAAAGAGAAAAGAAAGGCAGGAGAAAGGAGGGTTTTGGAGTGTACGTACACCTCAAAACCACAAAAAAGGGTTTATCTAAAAGAAGAAGCGGAAAGAAGAGGCGGCCGGCAAAAGCCCCGAAAGTGAGCCGACACAGCCCCGGCGGAGCCAGGCTTTAGGGTTTAGGGTTTAGGGTTTAGGGTTTGGGTCCCGCGTCGCCTAGGAGCTAGGGTTTACAAACGCAATTTAAACCCTTAAACAACTTTCGAATTTTAAATAATTAAAAGACAAAAGCCGATTCAAACTACACTCCCTGCCAGGGCTCTGGCCCCCCACGCCGCACATGCAAACCCTAAACCCTAAACCCTAAACCCTAAACCCTAAACCCTCGGCCTTGCACGCTAAACCCCAAACCCTAGCGCCGCCGGCTCGCGAATTCTTTTCCAGTTTCTTTTCGAGGGTTTGAGGTGTACGTACACCTGGGCTGCCGCCCCGCCTCTCCGTCTTCTTTCTTGCGCCCCGGGCTAGGGTTTAGGGTTTAGGGTTTAGGGTTTAGGGTTTAGGGTTTCGGTGATCTTCGCTTCCAGGCGTCGGGTCGGGACCCGCGTCGCCTAAACCCTCGCCGCTTTTTTGCTGCGGCCTTTGGCGCCCAAGCACCAAACCCTAAACCCTAAACCCTCGCCAAGCCCCAAACCCTCGCCCCTAAACCCTAAACCCTAAACCCTAGCTTCGTTGGGGTTTTGGGGTTTTGGCGCGGTCTTGGCTGCTTCTCGCGCCGGTTCTCGGCCGCCGCTGCAGCTGCCGCTGCTGCTGCTGCTGCTGCAGCTGCTGCTGCTGCAGCTGCTGCTGCTGCTGCTGCTGCTTAAATGAAAAGCTGCTGCTGCTGCTGCAAACTTGCTGCTGCTCAAAATGAATACTCTCACAGACCCTAGGGTTTTGCTAGACCCTAATTTGCAGTTTAATGAAGCTGCAGTGGCTCTTCTCGACAGAGTTATTGCGGCCATGTTTCTCTCCAGCGACAGCCAAGAGGTCAGCCCAAGGGTTTAGGGTTTAGGGTTTAGGGTTTAGGGTTTAGGGTTTGGGGTTTGGGGTTGAAGGTTTGGGGTTTGGGGTTGGGGGTTTAGGGTTTGGGGTTTGGGGTTTGGGGTTTAGGGTTTGGGGTTTAGGGTTTGGGGTTTAGGGTTTGGGGTTTAGGGTCTAGGGTTTAAGGTTTGGGGTTTAGGGTTTGGGGTTCAGGGTTTAGAATTTGAGGCTTAGGGTTTCGGGTTGAGAGCTGCCAGTGGGCCTGGAGTCTGTGGGCTGCGGCTTAGGGTTTAGGGTTTAGGGTTTAGGGTTTAGGGTTTAGGGTTTGGAGCTGCTGCTGTCTTTTACCGCATGTGTGTGGGAAGCCTTTGTAATCTTTACCTTTTTATTTGTTTCCTCAAGGGGCGTCTTTGCCGGGCCTCGCCGTTTAGGGTTTAGGGTTTGGGGTTTAGGGTTTAGGGTTTAGGGTTTAGGGTTTAGGGTGTCGTGTTTCCGCGGGGTCTCGGTTTCGAATTTCACCTTCCAAACTTCAGCTTTCCGCGTGGAAGCCCAATGCGTGGCGCGCAGGGTTTAGGGTTTAGGGTTTAGGGTTTAGGGTTTAGGGTTTAGGGTTTAGGGTTTAGGGTTTAGGGTTTAGGGTTTGCGGGTGCAGCGGGACGTGGCGCACCGCGTGTTGGGGGAGTTCAAAAACTTGCCGAACTCTTGGACTCATGTGGCTTTTATTTTGAAGACTTCGAAAGACGCAAACACCAAATTCTTCGCTCTCCAGATTCTCGAGTCCACCATCACCGTAAACCCTAAACCCTAAACCCTAAACCCTAAACCCTAAACCCTAGACCCTGGGCCCTGGACGCAGGGCGCGGCCGCCAGGCGTTCCCTGCGGCTCGGCGGGCCTCGCGTCCTGCTGCTGCTGCTGCTGCTGCTGCTGCTGCTGCTGCTGCTGCTGCTGCTGTGGCTCTCCGTGCGTCTTGTTCTGCTGCTGCTGCTGCTGCTGCTGCTGGATTTGCTGCTGCTGCTGCTGCTGCTGCTGCCCGGGCTTCCCCAGCTCGCCTTGAAATGCCGCGAACTCCAGAAGCAAACAAACAAATAAATAAATAAAATTAAAGAAATTAAATTAAATTAATTAAATTAAATTAAATTAAATTAATTAAATTAAAATAATTAAATTAATAATTGTTTTTGTTTGCAGACCCGCTGGAACATTTTGCCGGAAGAAGAGCGGAACGGCATTAAGGCTTTTGTGACTTCTTTGGTGATTGAACTTTCGAGCGATCCCAACAGACAAAAAGAAAAACATTTCATCAACAAAGTCAACGAAAACCTCATTCAAGTAGGGTTTAGGGTTTAGGGTTTAGGGTTTAGGGTTTAGGGTTTAGGGTTTAGGGTTTAGG